AGGCCACTTCGGGCACTGAAACCCGGCAAACTCAGAAACAGCAACAAATCACAATCTAAAAACAAAACCAGAGATGATGTGAGCTTTCCCTGATGTTTGCACAACATGACGAAGGACAGGCTAATGTTCAAGTCTTATCTACGGAGGCCCCCGCGTCCAGGGTACAAGAAGCACACACGCCAGCCGGACAAGGGGACGCACTGCTTCCCCTGCTCAGTTAGAAACAGCACCGACTGACTTCAGAGTCACAAGTTAGAGTAAAACCACTGCAGACGTGATGACCAGAAACGGGCATCGACCGCCCTGCCCCCCCAGCCGGATGTCTCCACCCCCCTCACAGAGGACCTGCCAAGAACACACCCACGTCGCCCTGTCCTTCTAAACTTGACAGAGGACAGTCCTCAAGGAGGGTCAGACCTGGCCCCATGCAACAACACACAAGACATACACAACACAAAACCCCAGAAGCAACACATAAGAGGTACAATGATAAAAACCCAAAGCACAAAAGTATATGACACAAAACTGAAGACATGGTACACAACACCACAAAACCCAAGACAACACACAAGACACACAACACAAAATCCAAAACACAAAACTACACAGAACTCAAGGCATAAGACATACACAAAAACGTGAGATCCAAGAAAACACCACAAAACCCATGGCAACAAAAGAATAACACAACACAAAACCCAAGACAACTCACGAGACACATACCACAAACCCAAACCTCAGCTACACCACACAAAACTCAACCCCTCAAAACCCAGCACACACACAAGACGTGCAGAACACAGAACTCAAGAAATAAGACCCACCACACCACAAAACCTAAGACAACACATCAATGTACAACACAAGAGTCAAGACACAAGGGGCTGGGGCTCAGAGGTGGAGCACTTGCCTGGCATGTCAGAGGCACTGGGTTCAATGCTCAGCACTGCATATAAACCAATAAATAAATAAAGGTCCATCAAAAACTAATAAATTAAAAAGGAAAAAAAAGAGTCAAGATCCAAGACGTACCCAGGGAGCCCACACCGGGCACTGAAACCTGGCAAACTCAGAAACAGCAACAAATCACAATTTAAAAGCAAAACAAGGATACTGTGAGCTGAGCTTTCTCTGCTGTTGGCACAACATGACAAAATCCAAGACAACACCCAAGCCCACAAAACTGAACCCAACACAAAAGCTGTGCAGCACACAAAACTCAAAAAACAAGAGACCCAATATCACAAAACCCAAGACACAGGACAGGATGACCCCAAACCCAAGCCCACACAGAGGACACCCACAACACCACACAACCCAGACGGTACCTGCGGAAGGCGCTTGCCTGGTTCATAGTATTAGGGTCTTTCTTCCCACACCTTCTCAGCCCTTGTGTGTCCCACAAAGAATTCTCTCCCATCTGATGCTGTATCACTGAGCTAGTGGCCTTTCAGGAGAGCAAACAACTGCATAGATATCGTTACACTAAGGAAATCTCTTAGAAAAACCAAACAACTTGCTAATCTCCCCAGCCCCTACATCCAAGCAAAAGATAAGAAAAGCAAACCTAAGTAGGTTCAGCCACATTCCAGGGACAAGTTCCCCTTTTTCTTTCTTTATCAAAATTCTAGCATTTAAGTTGTGTGAGTGTGTGAGTGTGTGAGTGTGTGAGTGTGTGAGTGTGTGAGTGTGTGTGTGTGTGTGTGTGTGTGTGTGTGTGTTTTGAACAGACCTTACAGGATAAACTGCTGCTAGCACTCGCAAACAAAGCAATATTTGCTTAATGAGGACTGCTGTCATGGGTACAGTAAACAAGGGGCCCAGCATTTGTGTTTATGAACAAACACATCATCTTACAAGAACAATTTAACATTAACCAGGTGGAATAATCAACAGATTTCATAGGTGACACCAGGGGCAGAAAGAACGTAAACAGAACTGAGAAGGAGAAAGGGGCCCTCTCTCTCGGCTAGCCCAGCATCAAGGTCGGGGTAAATGCATTACAGAGTAAACAGCTGGGAAGAGGCAAGATAAACAAACAGCCATTCTTCTGACATTTAGCAAGGCAGGGAGGTTGCGAGTTACACACATCAGCTGCTGACCACCGTGAAATCCAACCAGTTGGAGACCGAGCCTGGAGCTAGCACAATGCCATGTTGGCTGAGAAACACCCGTTCCTGTTACCAGCCTCCCAGCTTCCACCCCAGACCACAGGGCAAACCCAGGGAGATTCAGTTAACTCCTTAGGGGTGGCATGACTTCGAAATTCAACAGACATGTGGCCCCCTATGAGGTGCACGGAACTCAAAGACACCCTCTGATCTCCAGGCTTGCAGATAGAAATAAAGCACGCACATGATTGAACACTACGAAAGGTTGGGTTGGGAAACAGCTTTAAGAAACTGTAACGCTGTTGTTCTTGCGTAAGTCTGCATTCATTTCCTGGGCTCCTGGTCTTTTATCAATGAAATATTCGGGTCAAACAGTATTATCAAGAAGGGAAACCCTGGTGCTTCTTTCTCCTGTACATTCAGCTCCTGCTGCAAGATGTCTGTGAAAGCTCTCT